CATACATACATACATACATACATACATACATACATACATACATACATACATACACCCACCACCCACCACCACACACACACACACACATATATATATATTTATATATATATATATATATAAATTTATATATATATATGTCAGAATTTGAACCACTGGCGAAACTCAGTATAATTAAATGACAACGCACCAGGGAGCACATCTTTCTACCATGTATACAGTGAGTCAATATCGAAGCACCCACAGACTCACCTCTCTGTCATGTACACCGTTGTATCCGGAAGCTTTGTCATCTCTCGGAGCTCCTTAATAGTGAACGCAGCCTGCATTGGCCCACGCCGACCGACAATGTGCACTTTCCGAATGCTCGATTTTTCCAGCGCACGAACGGCATGTGTGCACACGTCTGTTTTCGCAAGCTCGCTGACGGGCGCGAGGAGGAGTCGCGCGCAATCCAGCGCCACATTGCCCTGTAGAGATAGCGAGATATTTCCGGGTTGGGAGTGTGTACATGACTTTAAGAATTTGGTAGCATCCTATTCCTAAATTTGGACCAAAATCCCATTTGTGGTCGACGTGATGCATCGATCGACGCAATCGCGATGTATGTTTCTGAATTTGACGTCCCTTATCATCCGCATTTCCGCGAACGATTTTGCCAGGCAATAAGCATACTATATCACCCTATACACGCGAGTGTAAATGAACGTATTAAGAGAATCTCCACGGCTATATATACACACCATGTGCCCACAATACGTTCGTTGATCGGACTACAACACCGACTACAAACTCGCAGATGCCTCTGTGGTGTTGTTAGGTGATATTCTCGGGTTAGATATGTAATAGTCTATATTCTACCGGAAATACATAGAAATCGACATGTACACTTCTGACACACACAAAGCTACGCCATACTCGCGCTTTTCGTACAGTATTACCAGCAAAAAGTTCACAATTGTAATGTACTATTCCATAGAACATAGTGAATAAACATCACATTCAACTAGTCAAGACAGTCGAACTGAAAAGTCCAATTCGTGCGCGTCTTGTGGTGTGCTTAGATAGAGACAACACACAAGCAACCCTAATCCATATACATCCACGGCCTTACCTGCCCCAGGATGACAACAGACTCCACCTTAGAGAGATCGACTTGAAGTTGTGCATGTTCTGGCGCCCCGTTGTACCATCCCACGAACGATCGCGCGGACACCACACCTTGTGCGTCCTCGCCTGTCCAATATCACAGCAACAAAGAAAAAAGAAGCAGTTCAGGCAGGGCTATGAGACTAGCCACATGGCCTTCACGGTAATGCAGCCGATGCGATTGATCTACACGGAGATAAGAGGTGTCAGGATGAACTCTCTCCATTGCTGTGCAGAGCTTTGAATAAAATATCTGCCGCTGCACACTAGTAGTGCACTTTCGCTTTCGACGTATTTACTCATAAATATTCGAAGCGACGCCTCAAGACTAAAACCCAAACCCTAAAGCCTTAACAGGTGAACAGCCGAATCCAAGCCGTATACAAAATTCACCACCCAGCGCAATGTAATCGGATGACCTCGGTACACATATATGTATGGGGAAAGAACACACCTTTAATTCCAAACTGTTTATCGTCGTCTGCTCCATATGCCAGGACTACGGCCGAATAGTGTTTTCTTAGGTCTCCCATTGTCACATCAACGCCCACATTGACATTGCCCAAGAAGCGCACCTTCTTGTTCTCCGTCATCAGCCGGTCAAAGTGGTGGATGACATTCTAACAGTACACCAGAAATAGGTCAGTAAACTGCTTAATATCTTGAGCTATTTTTCCCTTTTTGAGAGCGGGGTGGGGAGTCCACAGGTGTTACACACAGAAGGTTGAGCTATCTAGATACTACCCTTCCAGTGACGAGTCGTATTGTAATTCTAGGAACAAAAGGTACCGGTTACAAAGTGTGCAATATTTGAGGACCTTAAACTCGCCTATCGCTTAGATAAGGGCCTTGTTGCAAGATGCACCATGCACTCACAGCTTACACTTGCGAGTCATAGTATATAACAGGAAAACCCTCACTAGCACACAACAGAACACCCTTCACGACTCCCTAATATATTCGCTTATGGCCCACCTTGACTTCCGGGTGACACTCGCACACAACAGATCACCCCTCACGATCCCCTATTATATTCGCTTATGGCCCACCTTGACTTCCGGGTGGCACTAGCACACAACAGAACACCCCTCACGACTCCCTAATATATTCGCTTATGGCCCACCTTGACTTCCGGGTGATCAGGGGCAACGCCAAACCTGACCAATCCGTAGGGCACCGGCAGTCTCTCGAAGATATCGATCTCCACATCTTCAATCACTTTGGCCAGACGTTGTGCTGTGTAGAAGCCACCGGGGCCACTTCCCACCACGCAAACACGAAGAGGTGCTCTGCGAGTGAAAGCAGCGACATGTGGGTATTGGGTGCTGCCTGCCGGTGGACTAAGAATTATACACACATATGTATACATACAGCAACATTTCAAAATCATAGCAACGGTAAGTGAGCATTTAGTGAACACTGCCAGAGTACCAAGAAAGACACACACATACAGCATCATAAAGCATGCGCGTTAGCAGAAGTGACAATGAACAAACCATCACACAGTGGTTTCCACAGAACAGACAGCTTTGAGCCTGACAACGACCATGTTAAGACCACATATATACAAGTATATATATATATATATATAATATATGTATTTATATATATATATATAAATATAAATATAAATATATATTCGCGTGTATTTGTGCGTGTATTGGTATTATATATATATATATATATATATATATATATATATATACTATATATACTACACACACACACACACACACACACACACACACACACACACACACTACATATATATATATATATATATATATACTATACTACACGACCGAAC